AGGAATAGCTTATTCGTGGTTTTAGATAGAAAATGCGACATGCTTGCAGAGAAAATAACAAAGCAAGATCTAGTAGAGGATAGTAACTGTGGAAAGAAAAGGATAGCAGGAAGTAAAGATAAGGCTGGAATATAAGTTATTGGATGAATGGAAGTGATTGTCTTAAATGGGAGAGAATGATCTGTTTGTTCAATTCATACAAATAAAGAACTGATAGAAAATTTTCAAATGAGTGAAAGAGAAAGAAAAAGTGAATAATTGTGTAATATTTGGAGGTTTTAATATTACGACAGATAAAAGGGAGGAAGACGGGAAAGGGGTGTGAATGAAACCATGGTACATATTCTTAGAAGAAAGTGACTGAGAGGGAAACAATTTATTAAAGATTATTAAGGAAGAAGTAATCTCTCTCTCTCTCTCTCTCTCTCTCTCTCTCTCTCTCTCTTCTGACTGTCTCTCTCTCCATATATATGAATATATATGAATAAGAAGATTGGGAGGGTGTGGAAGGACGTGAGTGGATGAGAAGGGGGCTGGATCAACAATAGATTACGTAATATCTGGGGAGGAAGAATGGCGAAATATTAAAGGAATGGTAGTGAAAGATGAAAGGGATGAAAGAAGTATATTCAAAGCAGAAAGCAAAGTTTAAAGAGTTAAGGTTAAAAAATGGGCTTTGGGATAAATGGAGAGAGAGAGAGAGAGAGAGAGAGAGAGAGAGAGAGAGAGAGAGAGAGAGAGAGAGAGAGCACACCCCTCTTTCTCTCTCTCTCTCAATCTCTCTCACTCTCTCCAAAGAGAAATGTAGGAAAATATATTGCCTACAGGTTTCTGTTTCCGTTTGTAAAATTTTTAATATGTAAAAGAATACATCAAATTATACCGAAAATATCATTTAATATTATGGGTATATTCTCCTCTTAACGGTGGGCCGAACTTTTCGGTCAACATATTCGAGTGAACCACGTGTACGATGTGTTTCAGCTTTTTGTAGAACTTTGCAGCAAAACGGTCAGGGGGAGGGAAACCTCTGCAAAATGTATTTAATCCAGATATTTATCGTATTTTTGGCCAAATGCCATTTAAACGCTGCTTTTATGAATCGACAGTACCCTACGCTTTACATCGTGTTACCCCGAGACCTGCGACCATTTTGGGGCTTGATGCCAAAATAAGAATAACTGGAAATATACTACGTATTCACGACGTTTGATGGTCGGCCGAGGTTTATGACTGCGAGGTAAAATCTTATAAAATATACATTTTTCCGGTGCTCGAAGGTTAATGTACGTCATTGCCAGAAATGTTTGGTTTTCAAGAAACATTCTACAATAGATGATAAGGAAGGTTACCGACTGTTTAAAATTCGTATAATCGCAGTTGTGTCATTAATTGATGAATAAAATTCATTCGGGTTATTTTCACATTGCGGTGTAATTTATAGAACATTTTCAAATCCCCCATTGATCAACATTGCAAGTGGAGGTAAATTAAAAATGTTTCAAGAAATGTTATTAAATGGAATTTAGTAACTTTTACAAATTGTTCCGCTTACTGTTCGTTTTAAACTCTATAATTTCACAATGTATCAATTCAGAAACAGTTGAAATACTTGAGTATGTTTTTTTGACATTGGACTAAACTAAGTTAGTTGTTTAATTATTGTACTAAACAATTAAAACAAATACTAGAAGTAAAAGAATTAAAATTGATTGATTACAATAGCAGTTGCCTTAAGGAAAGCAGAAAAAACTCCTACAGTACATTATCTCGATGACAATTTCTTCGCTGATATTAATTCTCAATCACTAGAGAAGTTCAATGGAGAAAACTAAGTGAATTAGGCGCCCCACATAAAGTTGTAAATGTGTTGCACAGCATGTACAGTGAAGAAATTTTTTTCAAGTGTGGTGGCGAAAGTACCACACGAAATATAAAATTGACAAAATAGAAAGAAAAGGTTATCCTCTTTTACCGCTTCCGCTCTTGTTTATTTAGTTAATAAAAAATAAAATGCGTACAGGAAACTGACTCTGGTGCACGGAAAATTGTTCTGAAAATTCCCGGATTACTATTACAGATGATTAGTACTATGTTTGGAAAGTACTGACGGCTTACAGAGGGGTGTTTAAACATCCTCGAAAGGCGTAGTGAGACACGGTGACTAAAAGTAAATATTCAAAAAATGAAAATTGTTGTGTTCAAGAATGGGTTAATTTCGGGTTACAAAGATTGGAAATTGTGCGCATGATTAGATCGACCATGTCAAAACTTCGTATCGTAGAGGAAAAGTTTTCAAGAACGGGGAAAGGTAAAGTCACATAATGCCAGCTAAAAGAAAAGGAAGATTTGCGCGCAAAGAAATCGTTTGTGCCTTGCACAGACGGCCAAAATTGTTTTTTTGAGGTGTGCGAAACAATGTTTAAATCGCTAGTTTTCCCAGATATGGATTCTGTGGCGAAAATATGGGAAGGGGTTAGTATAGATTGATTGGAAAATACCGAAACGGATTATTGAAAATTAATTCCAGGAGTCTCTATTGATACAGCAAATGTCGGCGTCTTAAGAGAGGTCGGTAGTGTTGGGATTTGGAAAGATAAAATTAAACCCTTGGATTACGCGATCAGCGCTACTGGTCTTGCAAAGTTAAATTCTTACTAACGATTCTGGGAGATACGATTGGGGATATGAGAACACGGGAGATAAAACGGTTAATTTCGGATACGAAAACGCAGGATGTTATGGCCGCAATGGTCAAAAAAAAAATACTTACTAGTGACACAAATTCACATTTTAATGCAACGTGAATTGAAAGACTCACATGGCTATGATATCTGGGTGGTTTGCGGTGATATTGAAGATTGGATTCACGTCTTCTTAAATTGCAGTGCTACCGCAACACGGAGAGGAAAATTAATAGGAATGAGGGAATATTACTTCCAACACAAAAAGCTAATGCTTGCCCAGGACATATGAGGTGATAACGTTTCTCACATATTGAAAGAATTGTAAAAAAATTAGAAAATATTCGGAATATTAGGGAAATGGTAATTAAAGACTGAGAAAATAGCACTGGTTAGTAGTATGAACAGAGACTATTTCTAGCCGAATAGTTACGTTTACAAAAGACATAGCTGTGCAAACGTGCATATTACATCAGAAAATGGATATCTTATTTACGATGAGGTTTCTACGTTTTTGAATACCAACATTTTATATTTTACTGAAGACAATGCTTTTGAGACATTGATTCTGGAACAGTTAAAATGCACAAAACACAAAGCTTCGTTTAAGTGAAACAAATGTATTAAAACCAAAGGTATTTTCATTTATCCTCAGGTACTTGTTAATTAGTACATTTGGAACAAAAACAAAAGAGTATGAAAGATGTAGACAACATTTAAAATTCACTTCGTATACACTTCTCGTCGTCAAATTTTAGCTTGTTTCCATTAGTTTAGATTTAAAATTATTTAGACTCTCACTTATTAATGAACAAATTGTCTCAAAATAACTTTCTTTGCAGAAAAATTAATATATTTGAAATACGTATCGAGCAACACATTAGTTTAATTTTATTCTTAATTTCTTCCTCATTTTTAAATTGATGAAATTTGGTTTTATAAAATTAACGCATTTTTTCACATTTTCTCAATTTTGCGTTTCCCTAGTAAATTCAAATATAACGGAAATAAAACCTTTGAAGAGTTTTATATGAATATCTTCATGAAAAAACTAGTAGTGCTAAAACAGCACGTTCTTTCTTACCCTTATTTTCACGCAAAATTACGCGAAAAGTTTTCAAATTTTCGAAAAATTATACCTGACCTTATTTCAAAATGTATTTTTAAGGAACAGATTTCATTAAGGGAAAAACCTCTGTCTTTAATAGTTTAGTTGCAGGAATACTCGAGAAAAAATTGGAACTTTTACAATTTTCGAAATATCAGGGTTTTCAACGAACATGAGACCTGGACCATTCTCTTAAACCTTCTCCTTCACACTAAACAACAACAATATTTAATAAAAAATGATGAAGCAATGGTTTGAAAATTTTGAAAATGTCCCAAGAGGTTTGTGTAAAGTATCACCCAAAATTAAATTTCAAGGGTCAAATTCAAAGGGTCGCGGCATCATCCAGAAGGAATGAGGAGTATAAATTTTGGAGAAAATAGGCTGAATGGTTTACCCGCAAACCGATTGTTTACTGACGGACGGGCAGACGAAAGGAGAGACTTTTGCCATCAATAGACATTTCGGAATCAAGGACCCACAAACAATGATTACTGGCTACACCACGTGTTAGAGAATTTTTTGTAAATTTAGCGTCTAAATTGATCCACTTTTTCGTTACCAGGTCCTTGTAGCAAGAGTTTTTCTGTGGAAAATCGGCCATTTTTCCGCGCATCATTACATAACTTTCTCTGTACTCTGAAGCGAGTAAGTGACAAGAGGCGTTTGGGAGAAAATGTCGTTTGAGGGTTCTAAAAAGCCATCGATAGACTTTTCGGAATCAAGGGCCCACAAATTATTACTGACTACACCACGAGTTAGAGGATTTTTTCTAAATTTAGCAACTAAATTGATCCACTTTTTCGTTACCAGGTCCTTGTAGCATGAGTTTTTCTCTGAAAAATTGGCCCTTTTTTCGCGCAGCGTAACATAACTTTCTCTGTACTCCGTAGCGAGAAAGTGACAAGAGGCGTTTGGGAGAAAATGTCGTTTGAGGGTTCTAAAAAGCCATCGATAGACTTTTCGGAATCAAGGGCCCACAAATTATTACTGACTACACCACGTGTTAGAGGATTTTTTCTAAATTTAGCGACTAAATCGATCCACTTTTTCGTTACCAGGTTCTTGTAGCAAGAGTTTTTCTCTGAAAAATTGACCATTTTTTCGCGCATCACTACATAACTTTCTCTGTACTCTGAAGCGAGAAAGTGACAAGAGCCGTTTGGGAGAAAGTGTCTCAAAATGTTCGGTTGCGCGTGAGCACTCACCCCGAAGCCCGCGGCGATGTACATTGCGCCGGAGCGCAGCGACACGCCGCACCAGCTGTGGTACAGCATCTCGGCGGGCGGCGGCGGCGGCGGCGACGGAGGCGGGCGGGATCATGCCGCGGCGGCGCCCTCCCGCTCCTGCAACACGTGGCCGCAGCCGGCAAGCTTTCTGTCACCTCTACAAGTACCGCAAAACGGGGCGGGCTGTGACAAATGGGCGGAGAGAGTGCCACGCCCCTTTCCTTGACGTATTCGCATGCTATTGACAGATATAAGAGCTTTGCTGTTTATATCTTGCACAAATGGTTTCCTACGGGGCTACTTCCTAGGTTCCGCGAAAGCCTACGCAACCATACCTTGCACATATCTAGTTTAAATAATAGCAATGCTCCTTTACCTATCAATAGTGTGACGGGTTATTTGAGGGCCAAAACATATTATTATTGAAAAAAAGGGTGATCGAAATATATTTCGTCGACTAACAATGGAGATTAATACTATCTGTATACTAAGAATATAATCAACGGGGAATTAATGAGATTGGTAATGATAACTAGACAGGAGAAATAGTGCCAAAGGTAAGTTTGAGAATTTTACTTGAGAATTTTATGGCATTATAATTAAAATTAGACAATTAAAAGGAGACCGGATATCACAGAGAAAAGGAAGTGAGATGCCGATAGGTGGTTATCCAATCAGGAGAAACATGGACATTAGGCAAGGGGGGAGGGAAGTCGCAAGAACGACAAAGCAGGAATGAGTTTTGAGGGCAATTCTGTGCATTAAGAAAACAAGTGGCGAGGAGAATTACGAACTGCCGCAACAGTCCAGCTCGAACTGTGGTCGTGTACGAAGGTGTTAGAACGCGGAAGTCAGGCAGAGCAGCTCGAACTGTGGTCGTGTACGAAGGTGTTAGAACGCGCAAGTCAGGCAGAGCAGCTCGAACTGTGCTCGTGTACCAAGGTGTTAGAACGCGGAAGTCAGGCAGAGCAGCTCGAACTGTGGTCGCGAGCAGACGAATAGACGAGGCAGTAGCCAGACGGAATAATTTTAAAATTTGGTTGCGAACAGACGCGTGTGATAAAATTAAGACGTGTGGAGATGAGGCCGCGTATAATTGTTACTAGTGTAAATAATTTTCGAATGGAGAATTTCAAATTGTCAACAAAAAAAGAAGAAATGTACATAAAAATGGTACTGAGTGGGACTCAACGACGCGTGGGAGGACTTCGCTCAGGACCGGGGAAAAACGACGGAAAACAAACAGCGTCGTGACTTCTAGGCTGCCCGGGTGACGCCGCGTCGTTGGCAGACAGGCCGACGTTTCGCCTGTCATATCGCAAGCTTCTTCAGGATAGTGACGAAGCTTCTTCAGGGTAGTGACCTCACTACCCTGAAGAAGCCTGCGATGTGACAGGATAAACGACGGCCTCTATGCCAACGACGCGGCGTCACCCGGACAGCCTAGACGTCATGAACTCGAGCCGCGGAAGCCTACGTGTACAACAAACAGCGTCGCCGGCGGAGGGACGAACTGAGAAGTGAGAACGAAGTAATAATATTTACGATATGTAGGAAGACCAAGTCTTCTCATTAGGTGCTAAAAAGTTAGCAATAATATGGTAACATGACCATGTATAAATGGGGAAATCAAAGAATATATGTTGTAAATACAGTGTAAATGTGAAGAGCTGACTGGTAAAGATTTTTGTGTTATTCTTTTTATGAAGTGTTTGTATTTTTCTTTTTTGTAAGCCAGGTAAAGAGAAGCTAAATTATAAATGTTTTTAGAGAAGGACGAACCTGTTTTGATTCCGAAAAAGTTGTTATACTTTCTATGATTCAAATATTTGTTAAAGAAAGGGATTCCTTACATAACAATTTGTCGCCGAAATTCCGTATGATGGCTATGTCTATCCTAAATTTTCTACAACTTGCAACAATACCCCACAGGTGATAATGTACATAAACAAGGAACTTTGTTTGTATTTCAAGGCGAGTATAACGGGGGAAACCCCTATCGGACATATGGGTTACTGTTTATTAAATAAATTTAAAGGATAGTTGAGTATGAATAGAATAAAAATAAATAAAAATATAGGTTGATTATCAAACTAACACCAGTTCAAAGGATATCCATTACAATAGGATACGAATATCTCAAGAATTGAAGCCTGGCACATTCTCACCCCTTGTGGCACAGTCTCGCCCCGTTTGACGGTAATCAAAACTTCGGATTGGAAAAAGATGCACAGTAAAAATCAATTTTCATCTAGTAGCATGCTGCGGCAAAAATGCTGCCGACGTGTGTATGGAAATGGAGGTGCAAAAATTTGCTCAACTTAAATACCACTAGTCAATGCAGACGGTTTCTTCCTCGACATCAATGTCATAGGCAATGATGCAACGATTAGGAGGATTTTGTAGCATACATTATGAAAAATTGCGGATTAATAATCAAGTACTTGCATTTTTTTACTTAAAATCCAAACTGATTCATTACTTTTGTATTTTTCCCGCGTTGGTAGGAATCTAACGAAGCCATTAACACATCGTATATGACGAGAGGGTGCGTAGTTTGCCGTCAATTTATACGTATTTTAGAAATTAGTATTGCAGTTAGGTCTTTTCAATGTTGTGAAATTACTAACAATCACAAAGACACTCAAAAGTTTTATTTTACCAATTACTGTATATCTACATGTGATAATCAAAATATGTTTCTTTACTTCTCTAAAATTATGCTTCTGTCATACCTCGGGGTCCGTAAAAATGTATGATATTGTTCTTGTCACAATACAAATAGTAATTTTTGAACAAAACATCTTTTAAGAAAAAAAGAGAATATTTTAATGCTTATTACGAAGTTTAAACGAAATGTGAATAAATTGGTTACAAACTTGTTATTGTTGTAATAATCGTCCTCCCTCGTTCAACATTCCGCTTACTGGTCTGGCTGCCGCCACTCTCAGGGGCTTTCACCAAACGAAAACATTTTTATTTTCAAATTGACGCAGGTTCAAAACATTTCAATGAAAAATTAAACGCTGAACATGAATAATTAAAGCTTTAAGTAAACGCAATGCACATTATCGACGCGAAAGACAGGAAATTAATAAGAATAAAACTGAAAAACATCAGCGACAAACTTCACATCTTAAAAACTAGAACAAATTAAAAGACAAAGAATACTTTAAAAATACATACATAGAAAGTGACCTCACAGCCCAAGAAAGAGAAATACAAGCAGCAATCAGACATAAGGCTCAAGAAGATGAAATAAAGGAAAGCAAGTTAAAATTGGGCACCAAAAACTCCAAATCAATGGAAAGTGGGAACATTAGAGCAATTTTTTAACATTAGAATAAATCCACTCTGTCCAAATCTATCACCATCTAAAAAAGAAACCCTACATAAGACATTAGTAAAAGGCAAGAAAACAAAAAACAAGAAGGGTTTTATAAACGATAATGAATTATAACACAAGATCATTAATCTCAGAGGCAAGAGAAGTTGAACTAGAAGCGTTGACAAACATGAATTTGCAAAACCAAAGAAAATTGTTTGGGCTAAGTGAAACCTAATACCTGGTGAAGCAACAAAACGAAGCAAAGCGGAGACATCTCCTACATAGGGACAGCTAGAGGATAAAAGGGAGTGGCGTTCCAAGTAAGCAAAAACCTCAGAACAGAAACAGGTCAGAATTGTCCTTCCTTGTACCCAACATAAAGAAAAGAATCGCTAACAGCTACAAAGAAAAAATTAGCATAGGTATTGTAGATAAAACAGTGAACCAGAAAATGTAATCACTAAGTTAAAATACAAAATAGAAATGAACGACAAATTGTGGTATATAAAATTCCTTGCCAGACATGTAACAAGAGTTATGCGGGGCAAACGTGTTGAAGGATAAGTGAAAGGGTTAAAGAACATCGGAATAACATAAAAATAGTTGCACAATTCAATATCCATCCATAAAATTAATACCAAATATTAGTTCCACTTTGATGAAACAAATTTTATGTAGTAAACAAAATAAGAGAAAAAGGCTGATCTTAGAAACTCTTTACATTACGAATAATGGTACAGTAAATTACAGTGCATTACTGCTATGGTGGCATTATGCACTCTCCTAGAGATATAAAAGTAGTAATACAGAATATAGTTGTGCCGTGCTTCTGCAGTTTTGGCCAGGTTGCTCTCGAGTCAAGTTGCATATCTGCTAAGTAACAGAAATGTTGTACATACGCTATAATAGATTTTTATGTAAAAAGTGACGGATTCTTGTGCTAGTAAATTCTAATAGTCGAAAATACTAAGAGCATCGTATAGTTATTGTTGTTCTTTATATTGATGGTAGTTGTTAATATATGTAGAATCAAGTTTACGAATAACACTGGAGTATCATGTATAAAGATTGTATTCTGACATGGTGCATGTATTTCATTATTTGGGTGACTCCATAACTTATATCTAGATTTTACCAATATGTAATTCTTGTTCATATATTAATGTATATATTATGAAAGTGCTTATGTTAATGTGTGATATTGCAGTTATTGGGAATGTATATGTTCGTTCAACCTGATGATGAGGTCATGCAAACCTCGAAACGTTCTTAAAAAGTGTTATCAAGATTGTTACTCAAATTGAAACGTTTTAAATGTTGCTGGCTAAACCCTATTAATGAAGCAGTTCAACCTGTCAAGTAAAAGTACGCAAGAAGACATCAAAAGAAAGATTGTGAGAAAACGAGACTAAACATTTCGCAACGAGAACACTAGCTTAAGGAGTTCAAATTATGTCACTGCAATCCCTTTGATCGGGAGATCCTAGGGTTTGCGTCCTAAAGGTGACAGGATTTTCGGCCCTAGTTACGTAGCTAAGTCGGATTCAGCCGCTATCTGGGGAAGAATTTTAGCGGCCAATCTAACGAGTGTTTTTCGTGGTTTCTTAGATCATCACCAGGCGAATACCGGGCAGATACCCTCACAAACAGGCCGCAGACCACGCGCGATAGTTCCGTTCTCTTCCTTGTCCTGTCACACCCCCTTACTTACACACACTTTACGCTCACATGCAGTGGGAGGTACTTAATGGAGGAAAATTTCTGCAAGTCAA